GTTCCTTCTCTCGCTGTATCTCTCTCTGTCAAATAAATAAATAAAATCTTGAAAAAAAAAAAAAAAAGAATAGCAGTACTAATACGAATTGATGACTTGTTAGAAAACACCTATGGCAAATAAGCTCTAGGGTTTATCCTATGAGGGTAATAAATCATCTAGTAAATTAAGGAGGTAATATATAATTTAAAAATCCAATTTAAAAGGATATTTTTCATGAGCTCTAACAGAGCCCTCAAATTTCTTTATCTATTTACATTTTCACATCTCTCCTAAATAATTCTGATAAACCTGATTCTCAAAAAGTGCCTTAAAGGTGGTATGATTATCTAAGCTTAAGGCATATAGATTCATTTCTCAGTTACGGCATTTCTGAGTTTGTTCACAAATATCCTACTAGTTAATAAGCTGAAAGGAAAAATATGCTAATTGCACTTTTTTCAGCCTTAAAATTCTTTCTGCAATTACGTTTTAAAAATGCTGAATCATGAAATAAAGGAAACAGTGCAAGGAACCCAAATGAGAAGTTTGTCTCATACTTCAGGTTTCCTAATTATGGTATCTTGTCATTTTGGTCTTGTTAAGCATTTGGAACCAAGTAACTGAAGAGTCTGAGTGACTAGAAGAATACAACTCATTCTCAGAAACTGAACTCGAGGATAAAACTAAAAGCATTTATTTCTGCAAGTTATTTTACACTTTCAACTTCCTGTTTTATTTAGGCAGCTCATCATGACCATTTCAGGTAATAATGTAGAAGTTCAAAAACCCAACTTCCTCTTTGTAAAGTGATAAAAACCCTAAGCAGTTACTTATGAGAATGGTTGATCTTACTAGCTTTTATGGAAGTACTTGCAAGGAAATCAGAGACTACCAACACCAAATTCACCTCTGGGTTCACTGCTTTTAGGAAATGCAACAAAGATAAAAAGCAATATTAAAATATATATGCATCATGACATAAATGCCTTAAAAAAACCCAAATCAAATGCAGTTGAGAATTTGGTTAAAAAGAGGATAAAATGGAAACTTTATAGAGTTCCTTAAAGGAAGAATCAATACAAATTACAGCTGAAAATATCCTGATTTTAAAAATTTGTAATTGTGCCTTGGCTGTGAAAATTTTATAGGACAAGAATCTCTCTTAAGGGTTGTTTATGAATGCTAAGACATTCATATCAACTAGTTTTGTTGGAAAAATACTTCAATTCCTGAACTCCTGAGTTAAAAGGAATTAGAAGTCTGGAGGAAAAGGGGGCAATGTAGCTATGAAGCTAAAGGAGAACTGAAGTAATCTTACAAGTCAAGGCCCTTTCTTTTTACTTACAGATTCACAACAGAGAAATACAGTTCAGTTTCTGTCTGGGAATAAGAATATAACAAAATTTCAGTGATCTCAAATCATATGGATTATATGAGACTTCTTAATATCAGCTATTCGTAGTTATCCACAATAATGAAGATGTAGCTAATCTAAAACTGTTTACTGAATATGAAATTCATCAGCATTTTTGGACAGATTTACCATACTAATTTTGACATGCTTGCTGTGTCATTATTAAAATTAAGCAACAAAAGAAGTATGCTGGGAAGTAAGAGGAAACTGGTCACAAATCTGTTATAAAATCAAGACTATTAACGTTACTAAACATTGTCAATATCCAAAGACATCTCAATTTGCACTTTTCTTTTGAAATACATGTATTATATTTTCCCAAGTTTAATTAAAAAGTCATTCTAACCTATTGTGAAAGACAAAAACCCAACAATACTAGTAAACATAGTATTGTTTGGACACCATAAACTTTGAAGTTTACTGTTATTTAAGTTTTTAGTGAAATTTTGTTGTAACAATATTTTTCCTTAAAACAAGTAGACCATCAGTTGAGCTAACAAATGTTTGGTTATTCCGATTTTTACTATAATTTAATTTCATCCAAATCAAAACTCTTTGACTTAGACTAGACATTTTATTACAGTCTTCTCGTCAGCATAAATTCATATATACGATGTCCTTTTCTCCCCTAAGTTTTACACATGAGAATTTTCAAGAATGAGAAAATTCAATGCTAAAGTATTATTCAATGACTTGTGTTTAGCACATTCTTCAGTATTTCAAAATGACAAGGTATATGTAAGTATGACATATCAAATTATTCTGTACCGAGTACTCCTGGATCATAAACAGTCCCTTGCGCCATCCCATTCTCTTTTATTAAAAAAAGAAAGAGCCCAGACACATTTACAGAGCAAGAAAGAGTGCACTTTTTGTTACAGCCACTGTGGGAAACAAAAGACATAATTCTTGTCCTACAACGAGTCATCTAGTGAAATCACTCTAATTTCTACAGGCCCTAAAATCAGGTAGTTACTGAAAAGCCTGACAAAGTGTTAAGAAAGGTGTGCAGCTGTCAGCAAAAATTATTCCACCTAACGTAGAATATGCTCTTGTATTTAAAACACATTTGAAGAAGTAAATAGGCAAATTACACACTGACAAATTTAATTATACTCAAATACACCACAGTGGAGCATCAAAGAAGGCACGATGTTTTGTCCAGACTTGAATGTGTTAATATGAAGTTTGTGTGCTATATAAAAAACCTTTATAGAGTTAAAAAAAAAAAAAATCCGCTGGCTATTCTTGATTTGTTAACAAGAAATAGAAAACTATTTTTCAAAAATTACCGTTAATAGGATGTAAGACGCAAGGGATGGAGTCATCGCGGGCTTATGTGCATACATACAATCAATCAAGGGAGTGTCTACGGGGAAGAGTGGTGTTCAAATTCTGAAGCAAATGTCCTGAGGCTTACACATTTATTACTGAGAATCAGTTCAGCCGATAGAAAAGAGTGGATGGGCGGACAACACATGGGGACCTCTCCCTGTCGAGGAGTCGTGACAGCAAAATCACTTCCTGAGGAAGGAGGAGCAAAAGGGAAGTTAAGAGGCCACCCTGACCAGGAAGTGACTCGCCCTAAACTAGCCTCAATCATATTTAAAAATGGGGGGATGGGGAGAGCCCCAACAGTTTAAAGGCGGTAAAATAACTGCTTCTTGATACGTCGAGACATCACCATTGCCCCCTCTCTTAATTACAGAAAAAAGTCCACAGTCACGATTCAATAAAGGAAAGTCTCTTCTCTTGCACGAAGGTCACTGGGCTGTGCCTCAGGCCCAGGAGGAGAAAAAGAGAGTTGAGGAATGGGGAACTGGGGCCACCGTGAGGCAGACGAAAGCCCCTAAAGAGAGAAGCGTCCCAACTGCAGAGCGTATATCAGCACAGGCCAAGGAGCTTCTTTTTCCTGGGGACACTGCCAGGGTTCCCACCGCTGCCAGGTCGGGCCCCTGTTCCCTGTCGCGAGAGGAGGCAAGAGAGAGAGGCGGACCCCTTACCTTCTCTTCATCCGACACCCGGTCCTCGAAGTCGGCCATCTTGGGCTGCTCTGGCCCAACCCGGTCCCGGCGCGAGGCAGGCCGGGAAGGAAGCTGAGTGATGGAATCACCGCGGGGGCCGTCGGAAGGACCCGCCCGGAAACGCCGACCTAGAGGGCGCCATCTCAGTTACGGGCGGGGAGGTGGTTTCGAGCGTCGGCGCTCCGGGAAGTCTCAAACTCTGCCTTAAGCCTTTTCCTTAAATGATTTTAAGTCTAATCGCTTCCTCACTGAGTTACATTCATTTCCCCCATTCATCTGTGAGACGCCGGGAGCGTGTTTCGACTATTTCTGACACCCGAGCTCCATCCGACCAAATAGCAATTGCTACTGTAGGTTTTCCCAGTACCAGTGATCTCCGTGGCAACCCGAGTCCAAAGGGCTAAGTGCTGCTCGGGCCCTGGAACGGTCGGTGGCTTTTCCAACCCCAGGAATAGGGTGAGAGGTGACTCTCACACGTATGGAAGCAAAAACATTTCACTCCGAGATCACATCTCAGTCCAGTTCCTCCAGAATATGTGCCGCTAGTCACCCCTTCCCGCCCTTCGAAGGAAAGGTAACCCCAGTCCTGGGACTCTCCTCCACCTTCCAAATTTTCTTGGTCCGCTTTCCTTGGGACTCAGCCTTCACAGAGGCCAACTTCAGGTCCGCCACTATCCCAGGATTCCCGACTCCCGGTTTCCTGCCCTTCTCCCCTCCCAGCTCCCGGAGCCTGCGGGAGCGGCAAGATGGCGGACGGTGACGGCTTGAGTGAAGCAGCGAGTGCTGCGGCATCTCCTCCTGCACCTGCTCCCGGCCTGAGCCCGTCGCTGGGCTGGAGGGAGCGGCTGCGGGCCGGGCTGGCGGGGACTGGGGCCTCGCTGTGGTTCGTGGCGGGGCTGGGACTGCTTTACGCTCTGAGGGTCCCGCTGAGGCTGTGTGAGAATTTGGCTGCGGGTGAGAGGCCCAGACCTCCCTGGGGATGGGCGGGGGAGCTAGAAGAGGGGCCGGGGCCAAGGGGCAAAGGGTAGAGATTCTCCGCAGTCACTGGAGGGCTTTGGAGAATGAGTCGGTGGTGCGCGACCTAGTAGCAACTCCGCAGCTGATTGTCAAACCTGAGCCGCAGCTATGGGCTCCTCCCTTGAGCTCTTAAGATCCGCCCTCTCTCTTCTGTCCTCGTTTACCCGAGGAAGAGCCACCTGACAAGCTGTAGGCTTCAGGTAGTATGACAGATGAGAGCATTTTCATATCGGTTGCAGAATTTATATACACTCCCAGCATTGGTAGGATCCCTTGAAAATCATTCTTTTGAGTCTTTCGCGGATTAGCTAAGAGTTCCCACACCCAGACAACAAAGATGAGCGCTTCTGCAAAGACCTAAAAGGAAAAAAATGCCATGACCTTAGCCAACTATTATCATATTTTAAGATAGTTCTGTCAAGAAAGTTTTCGTGGTATCTTGGTCTGTTGTTTGCTTTAGGCTTTATCTTGAGTAATAAAACAGTACAGGAAGTAAAGGGAAAGAGCTACAAACAGTAATGGGTTCTTTCCTTACTTCTTTCAACATTTGTAGAAAGCTTGCTATATTAGTCTGAGCTGAAGATACAAAGACGTGTAAGAAGTAATGATCCCCGTGGATTCTGCAAATACTATCCTTTACCTGTAGCCAGGACAAAGTGGATGGGAGCCAGGGCCTCTTACCATGTCATTACAGTATTTCCACTCAAGCTCTGAACAAGATGAAAGTATTTCTGCTGTGTGATGACTGTGACTATCAGTACCTGTGGTTTATTTTTCTGCAGCAAGAAAAGGCAAATGTCTCCTTTTCTACTTCATAAAATGACCTGAAATACTGTGAGATAATGTTCTGAAATATTTTGGACTTTTTAAAACATAGGTTCTATATAAGTTCAGATATAACTAACATACTAAAACAAACTAAAAAAATTGGCCTTCCTAGACTGTTTGAAAGAGCTAATTTGGTGTCTCTGTCACTGGTTAATGAAGTGCTTACTAGTGATTTGCATGCTCAGTGAAATATTATTCATTGACTTTTATAATTTATTTTTCCACGTGTTAACTAGATCACCATTTAGATGAGAGTAGTTAACTATGATAGATTTTTATTTATTTCTGAAACCCGTAGTATTTATGAGACAGTTATTTGAAGTGAAAAATCTGGTCCAGGCTTTCAGTGAGTCAGGTTCACGGAGTTCTCTCAGTCTGTTGCTATTGTCTTTGGTTTATTTTGCCTCTCTATCTGACATACCAAATACATACATATACTCTAATTTGAAACACTGGTTTGTACCTCACCAAAATAATTAGGGAGTGGTTCTAAATCTCTTGTAACAGGATGTTTGTTTAGTTTATCCTTAGGGATTTGCAAAACTTCTTGTCAAAGTTATGGTTGATAGGTTCTTAATTTATTCTCAAAAGTAAACTGAATTATCTCATTTTGATTTGCTTATTTAACAAATTATCAGTTTAAAATGCTACCCTTACATGTTCAAAGGTAATTTTTAAGATATGATAGAATGGGAATTTAAAGTACCTTTTTAGGGGCGCCTGGGTGGCTCAGTCGTTAAGCGACTGCCTTCGGTTCAGGTCATGATCCCGGAGTCCTGGGATCGAGCCCCGCATCCAGCCCGTATTGGGCTCCCTGCTCAGCAGGAAGCCTGCTTCTCCCTCTCCCACTCCCCCTGCTTGTGTTGCCTCTCTCACTGTGTCTCTCTCTCTGTCAAATAAATTAAACAAATCTTTAAAAAAAAAAAAACCTTTTTAAAAATTACAACTTTCTCAAATGAATCTCATACTAGATATTAAAACTATTTATGTTCCTCCACTCATAAAGATACCTGCATATTTGTAACTTGAGTATTTTGAATTTGCGTTTTTTTTAAACTTTGATTTTTTTTTTTTTTCCCTTTTGCAGTGACAGTATTTTTAAATTCATTGACACCCAAATTCTACGTGGCACTTACAGGAACATCTTCTTTGATATCAGGACTAATATTTGTAAGTAGTTTCCATTTCCTTCATGGTTTGGTATTTATCTAAAGATCAAATATCTTTATGGTTACAATAATTATAAATACTTATAGATCAGCATTCTCAACATATTTCAGAATTTGAAAAAACACTGCATCTTCCTCTCCGCTTTTAGAGACTGGCAGTATTCATTTGTATATGAAAGACTATTGTATAATGGAAGGGGCAGGGGTTGGTGGTGGGTTCCCAACTAAATGCTTGCAGGGCCCAATTTAGTAACAAAAATGAATGAAATAGAGTGTAAAAATTAAGTTCCTTATTTACTTTTAGGACTGGGTAATCTGGACAATGCATGCTGCTTCTGGAAGGGGATAAAGCTAGTTGTTGCCATATAGATTCGCAGACCACTATAATGAGATCTTCCAATTTTTCATATGATTTTGAAAGAATCTGGATGCAACAAGTTTTTATATAAAAGTCTCCCAATACTTTAATCTTAGCAACATCGGGCAAACTAAAAATTGTGTCTTGAATTCAGCCTATAGGTTGCCAATTATCTTCTCTGGAGTATTTAAGAGCAGAGTATTGGAGCCAAGCTAACCATCCCTTTATTTATTTATTTTTTGTCAGAAGAAAATTTTTAATTGAAGTATAGCTGACATACAATATTATATTAGTTTTCAGAACCATCACTTTAGTTGTGTGACTTTGAGCAAATTAATTAACTTTTCTAAGCTTTAATTTCCTCATCTATAAACTGGGGATGATAATATCAACTTCATAGGATTATGAAAACTAAATGAGATAATGTGTCTAAGAGCTTTCAATAACATGGTAGCTAGCCCAGAGTGAGCACTTAATGAATTTTGGGCCATTATTATTCTGAGATGTCTTAACTTTCATTCAGCTTTCCCTTGTCTTAATTGGCTGAACTATCATTTTCAATTAAGAAATTTAAAAATATATATACATAATCTCTATTAACATCCCTGGGAACTAGTGTTTCCTAGTATAAACTTTGGAAAAATACTGCTACAGATAAAAATCTTAGGAAGTATGGCATACATGACCAGTGAATTTTTCTGTGCTTTTTTTCTCATCTCTAGATGGTGCTCTTCTATTATAGTAGAAATAATGGCATTTGTATTGGAGTGTTTTTTGTTTCTGGTTTTTTTTTTTAATAGGGACTAATACTTGGCCATTTTGTTAAAGTGAAATGCTAGACAAGAAAGGGATTTTCTCTTGATAAAAAAAAAAAAAATACTGAGGAATTTAAGATAAAATCTATGTGTTAGTATAGTTAAATTAGTTAAAATTTACTGCTTATAAAGCCCACTCATAGTTAAGCATATTTTAGCATATTTAGTCAATAACACGTAAAAATCTAAATAAAGAGAATGATCTATCTCTAAACAACTGACGGGTGGAAAAAGCATTAGTCTTGGAACCAGAAGATGTAGTTTTGAGTCTCAACTCTGCCACTTAATAGCTGATAACTTTGGGCAACTCACATAATTCTCTGAGTCCTCATTTATAAGGGCGGAAAAGCTTACATATACATTATAGATGTATAAAACATAACATGTATAATATATAAAACAGTTCTTAACACTTGTTCTTCTTTTTTAAACCAGAGTTTTAAATTTACAAAAATTAAGAAATTCATACTGTAGTAGCATCATATGGTGATGGTACACTTGTGGTGAGCAAAGCATAATGTGTAGAGAAGTCAGATCACTATATTATACACCTGAAACTAATGTAACATTGTGGATCAACTATACTCAAATAAAAAAACTTTTTTAAGTAAATGAATTAGGCTCAGTAAGAGATTAACAACAGTAGCTAATAATAAAATAGAGTGGTTATAACAATATACAATAAGAAAATTAGGAAATTCAAGTAACATTTTAAAGGTTAAACTGTGTCATGACCCTTATAATATTGATGAGTTTTTATTAGCAAAGGTTATTATGTTTATAATTTCTTTTACCCCCTGAAATACTGAAGCTATCTATGCTGTTTGTGTTACTTCCATCTGAAGGGGTAGGAGCTAGCGTGCTTGGGAGCTTGAAGAATAACAATGAAGCCAGTTGTTTAGCTAATTATTACAAGTGAAAAGATTACTCTGAAAGGAAAATGCAAGATCCAGTGAGAGTGCATATAATACTCTTTTCTGTTCTGTGGAATCAGGGAAAGTTCCCTGAGGACCTGTCATTTAAGCTGAAACCTGAAAGAGCCAGGTAAAGGTAGTTGAGAATGCTAGAGTGTCCAAATATGAAACATTCTTCTAATTCAACACAGAGAGCTTTTTTTTTTTTTAAGTAATCTCTAGCCCAACATGGGGCTTGAACTTACAACCTGGAGATTAAGAGTTGCATGCTCTGCTGACTGAGCCAGCCAGGCGCTCCCACAGAGCTTCTTTTGATTCCTCTTTTTATAACAGTGATAGATCTTGAAAACATAAAAGAGTGAATATCCTGATTTTTAAATGGTTCAATATGAGAATCAGCCTCTTATCCTACATTAATTATACTGCCAAATACTGGAGTAGTACTTCATTGTTCAAAAGGCATTTACAATTCTTGTTAACCATATTTAATAGATAGGACATTGAGGCTCTGAGAGGCTAGAGGTTAAGTGACTTACCCAGAGCACACAGGTGGACTGGGAGTCAAATGTGGGCTTTCTACCCCTAGTCTTAATCCACCATGCTAGTTATTTCAAAATTGTTTTTCTTTTAATTATGCTACAGATGGAGTAAAATGACAATGTAACGTAACAGAGTTAGATTATTTACAGATTAAATGCTTCTTGCTGGTTTGTTTGTTTGTTTGTTTTAAGTAATCTCTACACCCAACATGGAGCTCAAACTCACAACCCAGAGACCAAGAGTCACATGCCCTACCGACTGAGCCAGCCAGGCACCCTTGTTTCTTGTTGTTTTTTTTAATATTTCATTTACAGATATATTTCTTCTAGTTTTGCCTCAGCTTGTCTAAATTTCATAACAAAGCTATAAAAAGGGTATTTTATTTTTGCCTGGCTATTGGGGAATCTTATGTTTGGCTTATTTTTTGGGAGGAGAGGACATTTAAAATTAAATTAAATGGGAACATCGTGAAAGAATGTTTTAATTTGAGCTCATATGTCTGCTGATCAGTTCTATTTTAAGTCAAGGATTTTTTGTTTGTTTGTCATAGATATTTGAATGGTGGTACTTCCATAAGCACGGCACATCTTTTATTGAACAAGTGTCTATGAGCCATTTGCGACCACTGATGGGAGGAACAGAAAGCAGCATTTCAGAGTCAGGTTCTCCTTCTAGCAACAGAGAAAGTGAAAACAGCAGACAGAATTTGTCAGGTGACTATTTATGTAAAAAGTTTTCAGAGCTGTATAGTTAAGATTGTGTTTGTCTCTGGGAGAGAGAAAACTCACAACAGAGAGAAGTTTGTCTTTCATGTAAATATAGGTAACCTGCAGCTGATACGGAGAGCAATGATCATCAGAGACCCAGTCTCCCATTTTGTTAGCCTGCCATCTCTAAGTGAAGTTTTTCCTTGTGGTCCAAGACAGTTGCTCTCGTTTATGCCATCATACCCACATTCTAATCAGCAGGAAGGAGACTAGGCCAGTAGAAGGCCACCCTTTCCCCCTACTCAATCCCACAGCAGCCAAGGATACTTCTTGGAGTGTTACATACTATTTCAGCTTACTTCCTACTGGTCAGACCTCTGCCAAATGGCCACAAGTAGCTATAAGGGAAGCTAGAAATTGTAACCATTTTCTTAGCATACATATGCTCAGCTAGTAATTAGGAGATCTTCTTAGATAAAGGAGAGAACAGAGACAATTAGCCGTTTCTGCGAACATAGCAAAGTTAGGAAAAATACTTTTTCTTCTCAATATATTTACAAAGGCATCAAAATCTTAGTTATTCATGTATAGATAATCCATTGTCATACTTTAATTGTAGGCTATTCCTCTATATGTATCCAGTAATACAAAGTAAATATTATTAATGATATGCAATTAGGAAAGTAAAAATTTGAAGGCCAGATAGAAATGATATTTTTGGATTATTGTCCCTTTAATTTTATATCAGTAAAATTCATACAGTGATAATACAAGTGACCTAATTCCATAGAGTGCCATAAAGTCTCATTTGTTCAGTAAACCTAACCACTAGAGTTGTATTAGTTTAGTAGAAAAATACTGCCACTTTTTAGGTGGTCAGGGAAAGTCTCTGAGAGAGTGCCATTTAAGCTGAGCCCTGAAGCATGAATGGTATTGACCAGGAATAGTAGGGATGGGATTGGCAACCATTTAAGAGTACAGGAAGGAATAATGGTATTTTTCTTTCCCCTTTTCTTTTCTCCTCTTTCATAAAATAATTACAGAACTCCTAAGAATGAGACATATTAAGATGAATATGACATAGATCTGTCCGCAAGAAGCTGAGTCCAGTATGTAAATAATTATGACAAAAATGCATTATGTAATCTTATTCCATGTTGTGAGATTGAGTATATCATTGCATACAGAGAGCGGAGACACTCCCTACCCTGCACTCTAGCCTAGCTATACTGTGCAGCTTTTATGATCCTTCCTCTCCTTAGAATGTTCTTAATCTGGCAACCTTCTACTCATCTTTTACCATGATTCAATATCAGTTCAAATGTTACCTCCTTTCTAAAGCCTTTTCTAATTTCCCCAGAGAAAAATTAATCACTTTCTTTTTTTCTTCTCTTGGAACAAAAGTATCTCTACTATAGCACTTATCACACAGTTTAGATGGTAGTTTACGTGACTGACTCTCATGTGACTTTTCATTCATTTAAACAAGTCAGTTCCAAATGCTGTGTTAGGCTCCAAGAATACAAAAATGAACAAAGTTGTAAAAGCTCATATTCTAAAGGGAGAAACTGAAAACCAAATGGATAATCACATTGTAATATGTTAAGTGAAGTGCTGTAATTGAATTATGAACTAAATGCTATAGAGATAAAAATAGGAGAATGACTAGATTTAATTGTATGCTGCGTGACAGCAGGGGTGGTCCGGGCCTTATTCATCTTTGTGCTGTCTGGCTAGCACTGTGCATAGCATACAGTGACTATACAATGAATGTTGTATAGTATTTTTCTATACTGCAGTTGATTTAACTGCAGTTGATTAAGCTAATTCATTTCCCTTTTTCCTCCCCTTTGTTTTTTAGAATGCAAGGTATGGAGAAACCCTCTAAATCTTTTCCGAGGAGCAGAATATAGGAGGTATTACTTTTTTTTAAGATTGTATATAGTCAGCACCTTGGCTTTTCAAATTTTTGTACACTTTACCACTGTTAGCAAACAAATTTATACAAATAACAGCCCTCAGTAAAGATCTATCAATCATTTAAAAATAACTATAATTCAAAGCCAAATTACAGAGCACAGAACTTAAGAGGAAAGAGGAGATGGATATGGGCTGGGTTGGTGAAAGACTACTGTAAGGAAGCGGAAGGTGGGTCTAAACTGAGCTCTCCAAAGTGCTTTAGATTGTAGGGGGAAAAAAGAAGGAGGGCATTACAAATGAGGGAACAGGGGCGCCTGGGTGGCTCAGTTGGTTAAGCGACTGCCTTGAGCTCAGGTCATGATCCTGGAGTCCCAGGATCGAGTCCTGCATCGGGCTCCCTCCTGAGCAGGGAGTCTGCTTCTCCCTCTGACCCTCCCCCCTCCTCATGCTCTCTCTCTCAAATAAATAAATAAATAATCTTTAAAACAACAACAACACAAATGAGGGAACAGTAAGAATGACAAAAGGTAGGGAAAAAACAGCCTTTTGTAAGCAGAGCAGTTTCATAGGAACAGAGGCTTTATCTGGAGATAATAAAAGAGAAGAGTAGAATAAGATGAGTCAGATGACAGTAGTTTTGCTAATATCAAGTCTGGTTTTATTCTGTAGGTAATGGAGAAGTGCTGAAGCTTTCTGAGTGGGAAGCTCCATTAATAAAATTAAACAGTTAGTAATATGGAAGTATTGGAGTCCTCAATACGGCTTCACAAAATCTGAAAATCAGTCTGTCCTCTAACAGTTAGCTATGAAATCAAGACACATGCTATTAAAGTCAGATTCATTCATTCATTCATTCAACAAATATCTGACAGCGTACTATGTGTCAGCACTGTTTTAGGCAATGGAGACTCACCAGTGTATGGTTCTTGTGGACCTTACATTCAAATGGAGAAACAACAGACAACATTATATAAACTACATGGTCTGATAGCCATTGATAAATGCTAAGGAATAAAAAATAAAGGAAGGTAAGGGGATAATGAAATGTTAGGATTTGGAAATATACAGGGTGACCAGAGAAGATTTCATGACTTCTGATGAAAGAGCTGAAGGAAGTAAGGATATAGAAGAGAACTCCAGCGTACAGAGCAAATGCAAAGACCCTTTTAGGTGAGAAAGTGTGGTTAGAACAGGGAGGACCAGCAGAAAATAGGAGATGAGGTCAGAGAGGTAAGTGGTAAAGACACAGGGACTTGGAGTCAGAGTAAGAACTTTTATTCTGAAGAGGATGGGAAGCCATTGATTTTGAGCAAAAAAGTGACATGTTCCGACTTACATTTTCTAACCAGATTATTCTGGGTGCTGCACTGAAGATAGCCTGCTGGCTGGTGAGGAGGAGGCAAAAGTAGCAGCAGGGACACCAGAGAGAAAACTACTGCAATAACCTCAGTGAGCAATCACAGTGGCTTCTTCCATAGTATCTGGAATAAGGTGTGGTGAAAAACAGTCAAATTCTGGGTATATTTTGAAGGCAGAGCCTATAGGATTTGCTAATAGACTATATGTGGATTGTGAAAGAAACCGGAGTAAAAAATGACACTAAACTTTTTGGCCTGAGCAACTCAAGAATGAAGATGTTATTAAGAGGGGAAGGACTGCAGAAGCTGTAATATGTAAAATTTTGATACGTGAAAATGTAGAGAGAAAAAAGAGGCTGGAGGCAAAGAGAACAATTAAGAATGTTGTTAAAAATAATTCAAGCATCAGAAAAGGTCCTGAATGAAGACTAATAGGAAAAGGATATGCGGATGGGCTGGACGTATTGTTAAGTAAAAAGTACATTTGTTTGCTTGTATATGTACAGAATAGAAAAGGTATAGAAGAAAGTGGTAATATTGGCTGCCTCTTAGGAACTGGATGGCTAGAAAACAGGGTGGGAGACGTTTTACTCATGCCCTGTCCTACATTTTAATTTTAAGCAATGTGATTATAGTTCCTATACATTAAAAATAATTTTCTTAAAAATACTAATGGAGGGCGCCTGGGTGGCTCAGTCGTTAAGCGTCTGCCTTCGGCTCAGGTCATCATCCCAGGATCCTGGGATAGAGTCCCACATCGGGCTCCCTGCTCAGCGGGAAGCCTGCTTCTCCCTCTCCCACTCCCCCTGCTTGTGTTCCTGTTCTCGCTGTCTCTCTCTGTC